TGACAAGTGGCATCAGCTTCTCCCTGAGCAGTTCTCCCTGACTCCTAGCTACTGTCTCTGTCCCAGCCTGAGCTCGCCCCGTGTCCGCTGCCGCTGCCGCCGCCGCTCGCCACCTAGTATTGATCGGACGTTATTGAGAAAGTTGGACAAAGTTCGAGCCATTCGAGAATCAATCTAGCCGGCCTGCAGCGGCGGCCGGTGCAGTCAGGTGATCTGCATATAGGGTCGGCTCATCGACGGCACTGCTGGAGGCCTGATTACGGTCCGATCAGTCATACAGAGTCGGTTAGAGTCAGAGGTCTGATTAGGGTCCAATCCGATATATAGAGTCGGTTAGAGTCAGAGGCCTGATTACGGATTACAGTTCAGTCATATGCAGTCAGTCAGATTCGGAGGCCTGATTACGGTCCGCCTGGCTATAGCACCGAGAGTCTGAGTCGGTCAGAGTCAGATGTCTGGCTACGGTCCATACCGTTCAGTCGAAGAGCCGAGAGTCGGAGTCGGTTATAGCCAGTTGACTGATTGCTGGCCACTGGCAGTTCAGTTATGGAGGAGATTGTCGGAGTGGGAGTCGGAGTCAGAGTTAGAAACGGGTCAGGACCGGAGTCAGAGTCAGTCAGGGTCGTAATGCCGATTTTTGTCATTAGAAGCTGGAGTTGGAAGAGGTTCGAATCAAGGCGGCAATGGCACTTGCGCCGATATTTGATGGTCATCATGAAACGGCAGCTTGCTAGTCAAGTGCGACGAAAGAGCTTCTGCTAACTCTGTGCTAGTCTTTAGCTAAAAGCTAAATCAAAGACGGATCCTTTGGTTTGGATTGGTTAGGTATATATTTGTGCCTTGAGTCTGAGACAGAATTAGATGCGAACTTCGTAAGAAAACTGTTATCAAAATATCTTGTGAAATGTACAGTACGGCTGTTTTTCATTAATGATCAGCAAAAAGTTTTTAGGTACGGACAAGCAAGGATGCTTGACGTGGAGCTGATTAAAACTTTGCAAGCAGATAATCTAGTTACATGTAAGCGACAAGAACAAATAAAGTGCCAAAATGAGGTGGAAAATAAATTAGTGATACCAAAAGCCTCTGAACACACTGGTAGTCCCAATCAGAAATAATTTATGCCCCGAGGCAGCTACACTCTTTCTCTTGAAAACATTTAATGCATCGAAAGCGTCATGCTTGTCATCTTAATATTTCATCCCGTTCCACATTTTCATTGACACTCTTACTTTTTCCACGTGACCCGTGACCGCCGCCCGCAGCTCTAAATTGGTGGCTGTGACCGGATGATTCAAATATGGCAGCTGCTTCTCTATTGGCAGCTTTAACGACAGTTCTCTCTCAGAATGAGTGTGGATAGTGCCTTACCGACATGAGCTTCCCAATTCCGTTCGGAAGCTCTGACCTCCGGATGAATGAAGCCACTCCCGACCCGACCCTCGTCAGTCTACCGGTGGTCAGAGCCCACGCACTCACCAAGGGCGTATGAACACTGAACAGGCTACAGCGGGATCCAGGATCCAAGCAAAGGACGGATGAGGCTGCAGCGATGCATCCTCATCATTATTTTCATCGTGCTACACGCATTTCCTCTCTACAGCTAGTATTCTCCGAATGAAAGAAGTTCTAGAAGCTTCTTTTTCTTACTTTTGATATGTGCTCAAGCATTTTGGTGCAGACAAAATGCATAAGCATACGTCAATCCAATGTGACCTCTCACTTCTCGTCCCGCCTATGTCCAGTGAAGACTTCACGTGCTGTCTCAGCTCGGTCCGACGTCATTCGTCACAGAATCCTCCGCCTGGCAATCAGCGACTCCGCAGCACGGTCTATCCGACCTCAGAGATAATTAACGACCCAGCCGGCCGCGCCCGCCCAAAGACGACCACTAGCGGCCGAAGTCAAATTACCACTGCCTAAGGACAGACAGGGCCTAAATCACTATTCAGCACAGTTTCAAATGAGCGGCGGGTGACTGTGTTTCAAGTTGTAGGTATAAGCGGGGTATTATACATAGAGACGATACAGCTTATCCGTTGTCGTTACGTTACAAATATCGCAGTTTTATATGAGCTATGTGACAATTTCCGGGTCGTCGCTGTCAACACTCCACAGAGTGTGGGTAAACCAGACTTACGGGGGCGTCAAGCCTGAACTTGGAATATTGTAGAGTTTGGAATGGTTCGATGCAGCGAACCTTATCCTGGCAAATCTATTGTTCTCTGCTCATGACTTAACTAATGAACGAAGCACTAGCAATTATACCGCGCCTTCTGTATGCGAGCAGAGTTGCAGACCCTACCGTTATTTCTAACGACGAAACTGGGAATTCTAACTAACGTTATGTGAAGACGCCGAGCGTGGGCGGCATTACATAACTTGTCATTGTTCCGGATGTTGCAAGATTTCTCGGCATTCAAGATCAGCCTTGACAAATTTCTAGGAATTGTTCACTGTTCAGGATAGCGACAGTTTGCTCAACTATGTTTGGAGATAGCTGCAAAGTTTGCCAACAAGGACTCAAAACTATATTAAAGCAATGAAACTCAGACATCAGCAATTAGTTAAGATACATAGAATGAATTACGAGACCAACAGAGAATACTCCGACATTTGATGTAGCTTCAGTTGGCGAACGGAAATATATTAAGGAAACTTCACATCTTATTACGGAGCGAGCGAAGCGAGCGGAGTCTCATACTGAATTAAGGGAAAATCCTGAGTATGAGCGGCCGGCCGGCCGTGGGGACGCTCTTCAAAAGCTAATATCTTAGGAACGGGACATCCGATTGACAAGCGGTCTTCTTTACTGAATGTCACTTGGACGTAAAAGTTCTGTGGTGTGATGGCCACCAACCATGCGTTCTTGCCAACCACCGCACGTGGCGCGTGCTAAAGTTGGACATTTTTTAAGAACCCTCAAAATTGCAACCTCAATAACGGCACAACGGTTGGGCCGATTGAATTGAAACTCGGTACACAGTTAGGTCTCCATCAGATAATTCATCTGCATGTGTTAAGGTTGGGGTGCTACAGCACGTGCGCACGTGCAGGGGGCGCTCCCAGATCTCGAGAACGGCTGGGCCGATTGCACTCAAATTTGGTACACGGCTGGGGACCAGTTAGTAGGGTGCCGTGCAAAAGTCAGTTTGGACCCCGCTTGCACGTGCGCACGTGCAGTGTGCCGCTTCCAGATCTCGAGAACGGCTAGGCCGATTGCGCTGAAATTTGGCACATCGCTAAAGACCGGTTAGTAGGGTGCAGTGCACAAGTTAGTTGGAGGTACCCCCTCGCAATGTCGCACGTGCAAGGCCCATCCTCTCGCTCGCTCCGTTGGTCGCCCAAAAGGCGTTTTACTGGTATATAACCAACATTCCATGTTATCCTTTAATATGTTAACTACCTAAACGACTATCCGCTTGGTCCCAAAGATTGCAGAATACAGAATCACAGATATGCTGCCTTTTATAGTCCAGACCAGACACATGACCGATCAATGTATGTTTATGCTGTTGCAGACTCCAGCAAGTGTCCCACCCCAAGCTGTGACGGTACCGGTCATATCACCGGCCTCTACTCTCACCACAGGAGGTAAGAACCCACCGTCTTCCGGCGCTGCTGGGGCGTGGACGGTTTACTGTTTGTGATAGACAGGCAATAGCCGGATAAAAGCGAGGTGTAAGAGAGGGCTAGGTTGTGACGCGTGGATTATTACATCTACCTGCATAGATAGAGGCAATTTTTTAAAGTGCTCCAGCTTGATGTCCAAGTGATGCTGGATGACCGTTAGCAGATTCGGCCCCGTCGCTATCACGTCACTATTTCCTTTCTAGCTCTAGTCATTTAACTTTCTCCGAGCGTTTTGTCCCGGTGAAACCACCACACGCGTTTCGTTAATCCGTTGCTGTCTGTGGTGTCAGCTCGGTGTTCCCTGGCTCGGTTGTCGCGGCGCCCCCATTACCGCAGAGCGGTGTCGATGGTTCCGCTCCCAATGACCTGTCCCCGCCACCCGTCCCATCCAATTCGCCGCCCGAGTTTGGACGGCCGCCCAAAGAGCTCACCTCAACTTGGCGAGCGGAAAAGTTGGGCCACTGACGGTCTCAGTGTCACCCAGAGGGGGCGGGTCGTCAAAGGGTCCACTGGGCGGGGCGGAGAGGGGAACAAAGAGAGGGAGAGTAATGATAGAGGGAAGGATGCGGGGTCATCTTTGTGAACGTTATAGGTACGCAATGTGCTACCAGTGCGGATTAAACCGAAGGTGCACTACAGTTCGAAAACGAGTGTTGCGCATGTGCTGTAAGAAATGTCCCTACTTTCAAGCAGCCTATCAGGATGTCCAAGGAGGGACAAAGTGACGCCCGAAAGTAAGTTGGGGCGGGTTTTCTGTTGTTTATCTGTTTAGTAGGTATTGATCGATTTATTTTATTTTTCAGCTGCAAACTCTTACATAATACACAGCTACGTTACATTAATACAGCACCTAACCTTGATGCACCGGATGCACCACTCAGTAGTATCTTATAATTAAGTTATGCTGCCGTTTATTGGTTCACCCGTCTTCTTGTTTCGTTTTCATTTAATGTTATTCATGTTTTATAATGTGATGTTCGTGCTCTTATTTGCAAATTTAGCAAAAAAAACAGGTTTTGCCTGCAATGTCTAAGAAAGTAGCATTGCTGTAGTAAACGTTGGGCAATGAATCATGGATATAAAAAACCTGCAAGACGTACGATCCCTTCGCAAACGCATTTTTTTTCACGATGATAATTAGGTACCCGGCGTGATTGAACCCAATTCATGAGACATGAGTGCATTATTCTTTCATCATGTTTACGGAAATGTGAACTTTTTAAGAGTGAACGAATCAGCCTCGTGTGCTAGAAGTTAAACTTCGAGAAGCATTCAAAGCCATTCGCAGTAACTTATTCCTTTGAAGAAGTCAGCATGCATATAGGTACATACTTATTTCCCAACCGTCACGATCGCGCTTGCGTTTACAGTCGCTTGTGCTTTCTACTGCCCTCCACTAACTTATTTCCCTGACAGTTCTAGCCCAGTACGAGACAATTCTGAAGTGTCCTACGCCTGGCTGCAGCGGCAGAGGTCATGTCAGCACGAGTCGCACCACTCACAGGTCAGTCGGAGGTCACATCTGAGGTCAGGTCAGCCAAAGGTCACATTTGAGGTTCTGTCAACGTGAGTCGTACACAACTACATACTACATACACAGTACACAGTCATCAGTAAGTCAAAGGTCATATCCGGGGTTAGATCAGTCGTACGTCACATGAATGGTCAGGTCATGACGTAGATGGGTCATAGATGGGCCTGAGGATCATCATAGATGGGTTCATTAAAAAGTGTTAAACTAATTACTTTTTGGCACTTCACATAAAACTTCCAGCGGGAAATATCATGCAGCTTACTGAGCGATGCGCAGCTTCACGTATATCGTGTCACAAACCACACAGTAACTGATGACGTTCGCCCCCGTGATTGACTGATACCCTTCCTGTGTCAGGTCACTGTCGGGCTGTCCACTGGCAGCTGTCAACAAGCAGGCCGCCCGGGAACAGAAGCACAGAACTCTGCTGGCCCAGACAGCTCTTGGGATGGCCGGTAAGGACGGAAATGTGTCGATGGCGGACGGATTAGGCTATAGCTGAATGACAAACAGAAGGATGGACAAATGTGGCTGATAAATCGAACGAACAATGCTGACGGGTAGCCCAGTCCCTGTCCCTTCATCTACGGTTGAGTTGCCCGGTCGAGATCGTCCAATTTTAACATGAAATCACTGGTCAATATGTGGGTGGGGGTGAGAGGGAGAACTAAGCTATTGCCGTATCCTTTAGCTTGACCACAGTTGTAAGGTACGTACTGCTCGACCAAATGGCGCAGACTATTGACACAGCTCCTGACCCCGTGCTCAGGAAGCGGCTTCAAGTCGACCCTGCCGCCGGGACGCCAGGCTGAGATGGGTGCTAGCGGTGGCTTCGCGCCCCTGGACGCGGAGGGGCGTCGGCTGGCCTCAGACGCCGTACCACTGTTCGCTGGGTTGAGCAACGACTTCGGCGAGCAGAAAACGGTGCAGCGTGTGGCCGATGATCAGGTGCTGCTCGAGCCAGACGACCAGGAGAGCTCGCGCACGATCCTCGAGCTCAAGAATGACCGTGCGGCACCGGCAGCTCCCGCGCCCACGGCTCCGCCGGTAACGGCTCCGGCTGCGGGAGCCGTGGTGACTCCCGTACCGGTGTGTGCAGCGCCCCCGGCCGTGACATCAGAGCTGCGACCACAGCTACCGGCCGTGGCGGCCTCCCTGCCGGCCCACCTGACCGTTACCATGGTAACGGAGGACTCGGCGCCCGCGGAGGTCGCAGCGGCCGCGGCAGCAGCAGCGGCTGCGCAGGCGGCGGCGGCGGCAGCAGCACAGGAGGCCCCTCCGGCGCCCCAGGTCGGGTCGCTAGGAGAGACTAGGTCCGCCTACACAGGCCTCGCGTCCGAGTATGACGCCGCTCAGTCGCGGTATGGCTACTACGGAGACTTCTACAAGCGGCCAGAGCCGGTGCGGCCGGCGGCAGCGGCTCAGTACGACGTGACAGCGCAGCTGGCCGGCCGGACCGCCGTGGCAAGGTGGGTGGAAGGGCTGCAGGAACAGCTTTGCGTATTCATGATGATGCACTTTAATATGTTCATGGTTTCCTGTGTGGGTTTTTACTTCCCCAATTTGCATTTTGCGGCCACCCATAGGTATGCAAGGGGTTTTGTGCTTTGGTTCGCGAAAATCGATCCTTCTTCTCCTGAGCTATGTGATATCCGTTAAATTTGTGTGGCATAACACGTAAATCAAAGCACGCGAAATTAAAATCACGATTATCAATTTGTTCCTGTTGTAGAGCTTGCTATCAATCTACTATAATTTATTTCTCACTGCTTATAAAGTTGTGTACGTTTTGCCACATCCGCAGTATTTCGGAGATTCTGAACACGAACCGAACCGGCGCTATCGACCGAGCTGCCGAAAAGTTGGCCCAACAATGAGACGTTTTGACAACGTCCGCTGAACTTTTACCGCTCGCCACTTACGGTCTGACAGGCGAACCATTGTTCTGGCGGCTGGCATCCGGCGTGTGACAGCCCTGACCGCCCGTCTGTACCCTGATAGTCTTTTCGCTGACTGCTCTGACCGCTGACAGTCTGCCCGTATGTCTGATGACAGCCCTGTCCGCTGACAGACCTGGCCGCCCGTATGTCTGCTGACAGCTCTTTCTGTACGCTGGCAGACCTGGCCGCCCGTTTGTCCGCTGACTGCCCTTTTCTTCCGTCTGTCTGTCCGTCTGTCCGCTGACAGTTCTATCTGTCCGTCTGTCCTCCCATCGTTTCTGCTGATAGCCCTGACAGTCCGTTTGTCCAATGACAGTCTGATAGCCCGTTTGTCTGTCCGCTGGGCGCTAACAGTCCCGGCTGCTAACAGCCTGTCCGCTGACGGCCCTGACCGCCCGTATGTCTGTCCGCTGGTAGCGCTGATCGTCCGTCTGTCCGCTGACAGTCCTGTCTGTCCGTCTGTCCATGACAGTATCCACCCGTTCAAATTCGCCCGTGTCTGTCCGCTGGGCGCTGACAGTCCCGACTGCTGACAGCCTGTCCACTGACGGCCCTGGCCGCCCGTATGTCTGTCCGCTGACAGCTCTTTCTGTCCGCTGACTGCCCTGACCGTCCGTCTGTCCGCCCGTTGGTCCGCTGACAGTACTGACCATTAATTCGTTATGAAAACTTCACCTAGATCATCATCTGTGTTGCGCCCGATGTTTTTTTTTCTTGTCGCGAATGACGTGTTAATGAGCTAGTGTGTGTGAGGGAAAGGTGCCATGAAATAAGCTGCATAGCTTTTGCACTGATCCCAGACTGTCTGATGTCTAAATATGCGAAAATATTCAATAAAACCGAGAAAACAAACAACCACTCCGCCTGTTTGTCCGCCGACAGCTCATCTGACAGCTCTCTAAGCGCCGCGCCGCCGCCGGCCGCCTCCGATGTGACCTCCTCCTCCTCCGGGCTGGCCACCTCGCTGCCCTATTCCGCACCTCCACCGCGGTCTCTGCAGCCCCTACCACCGGCCTCCTACGTCACAATGACGTCACGCGAGCCCTCGGCGGCGGCGGGCAGCGGCGGCTACACATACACCACGGCCACGGCGGCGCTGATGACACCCAGCGTGATGACGCCGGCGGTGCGTCATCCGTCACCGCTGGCGCCGACAGCGGCCCTGCAGCAGGTGTCTGTGATGTCGTCGATGACGTCGCTGTACTCGATGAACGGGTACGGCGGGTACGAGGTGTACCCGGAGCAGAGGTACCACCCGGAGGCGGCCCTGATGCCACCGACTGCCTACGAGCCCGTCCAGGTGAGGGCTGAGGGACACCGAATGGAAATACAGCAACAGGCCCTCGCGATCTCGTATGTCTGTGCTAGCCCCTTCAGGTCAAAAGTCAGCAGACTTTGCGTCTTACCCTCGTGCAAACCCTTCCTGATCTGGACGGAAGTTGCCGATCAATTCCTCCTTGAAGAGATTGTTATACTAATCCCTACACTAAACGACGAAAAAGAGACCCGCAGCATAATACTCTCAGTCCCTCCACGACTATGTGACCTGTGTACCCTCAGGGAGCGACCAGTCCCCGTGTGGGCGGCACCTCCCCTCACGGCCGATCCAGCCCTCAGCTTGGCAGTCCACAGAACCAGACGCTCGACCTCACCATGCCCAGGCAGCAAATGGCACTCGGGTAAGATGGCTGGAACGTGGAGAGGGCAACGGGAGGACTTAGTGAGCGATGGAGCCACGTAGAGTATATCAGGATCTCGGAGGGTACTGAGACCGTGGAGAGGACGGCCGATCACTCAAAAATTTGAAAATGTCTACACACCGATATAAATGTCCTTAGTCCATGTCTTTGCCACGCTTTTCTGGTTTCCATCAATGAGGTAGTTTTATGGACTGGTTCTAATCTATTTTGCAAGTAAGTACCGTTCATCTCTTTCTCTCTAGTCTGCACGTTACCGAAGTTCCACCCTGCTTCTCCGTTTTCAGCCCCAGCAGCCCGGCGTACAGCCCTCCGCCGAGGGTCGAGTCCCAGTCATCATTCGGAGAGCAAACGGAGCCAGTGGACTTTTCAAACAACTCGCCGGTCGACTTCAGCCTCGGGCGCGCCATGGAGTGTGTTTCTCACAATCAGGTGAGGAGTGAGGACAAATAATCGGCTTAAGTTTTATTTTCATTGGAGATATCATTTTTGTTTCATACACACTATACACTACAGACTTGCTTTCGTTGGTATGAAGTGATATTTTCGGGGATATAATCGACACTGAGGATTTTTTTTTTGTGCCGCCTCTTTACCAAGCTCCGTATGCCAATGATGATTCTTGCCTTTGTAGGTGATGTATTCAAGAGACGACTACGCGGCGGCTACGTCACAACAGCAGCAGATGACGCAACAGCCACAAGACCACCAACAGCAGCAGCAGCATCAACAACAACAACACCAACATCAACAGGCCCAACAGCAGCAACAACAACAACAACAGCAGCAGCAGCAGCCGCAGCCGCAGCCGCCGCCAGTGAGCTCCAGCCACCTCTCTGTGACGAGCGACGCGCAGGGTGCCCAGGACCCGACGGTCGTCGCTGCCGCTGCCGCCGCCGCTGCGTCCCAGCCGACGTACCAAGAGACGCTCGAGTACACCGACTCACAGACCGTCCTGTACCGCGGTACGCTCACTCGTGAGTCCGAGAGAGAGAGAGAGAGAGAGAGAGAGAGAGAGAGAGAGAGAGAGAGAGAGAGAGAAAGAGAGAGAGAGAGGGAGGGAGAGAGAGGGAGAGAGAGAGAGAGGGTGAGAGTGGAGTCGCAGAGCCAAAGGGGAGGGGTATTATTTTCACACTTCTGTCTTTGTCGACTGTCGCATTTTACCGCTAGACGTCACATTCTGGGGTACCATTTTGGTGCGTCTGATTTCATAAGCTCAGTAGATATCCACAGCTGCTGTCCAAGCCCATGCTGAGTGACCCCGATGTCGGGTTCAGTCCTCTCACTCGACCCTCCTTCCACAGCGACATACTCGACCTCGCTGACCTACCACCGACCAACATACGACGCTAGCGCCACTTACAACGGCGCCGCGTACCAGAGTTTCGGGTACGGCGCGGCCGACTACAGCGCGGCGTACTCGGCCAACTACGCCCCGGCCACGGCGTACTCGCCGTACTCCGTGCCGTACTCCGTGGGTACGGCCGGCAAGCCGCTGACGCCCGCCGGAGCCGACACGCTGCAGCGAGACCTGTGAGTGGCGGGGAGGCGCGCCGGAGGGGTGGGGATGAATGGTTTGAGAGAGCCCCCAGGTGCCTGAGGTGCTTTTGTGTCCGTGTGTGTGTGAGTGCGATATATATGAGGACGTTGGTGTATTTTTTATCGTATTTTTTTATCGAGTCACGACTATTCTGTTGAGGTGTGCTGGCAGCTAAACTAACTAACTTATGTGTACTCAGTTAAGTTAAAAATAAAATAGGTTATTCAGTTGCAATCGTGGTGCTCAAATGTTTGGCTTTTGGTGTATGAATTTTCATGCCATGATCGCGAAAGAGATAATTAAATAAAATCGGAAATTAGTTTCATTAGCTTAGCATTGGACGAATATGTGCAAAATTCCAGACGTAAATCAAAGACGTCACAGTGCTGCTGAGACGTGCAGCTTTGTCTTAACCCACTTTAGAAGAGCAATGCCTAATATTTCAATTCAGGCCTGTTGCTCGTCACCAACCATCTCTATCTCAACCTCAATGATCAGTGTTGCATGCCTCTGTATGTTCTGTATGTTTGCCTGTGCCCCTGCTCCGTGCGTTCCACACCCCTACCCAATGCTCGCCAAGAGAGAGACAGACGGAGAGAGAGAGAGAGACCACGGGTGCCGTCTCTCCCGGCAGGTCCACCCCGTTCACGTACACGCGCCCTCGCGGCAGGGACGGCCGTGAACTCATCTCCTGTCCCACGCCCGGCTGTGACGGCATGGGCCATGCTACTGGAAACTACGCCACGCATAGGAGGTGAGTGGGTGACAGTCGGTAGCGCTCAGACGTTAGGCAGACGCCAAAAGGCCGGGCGGTCGGAGCCAGTCGGCTGTGGCGCAGTATAGGCTAGCCCGCACACACCAGAGCTCGGCGGTACAGTCTATCTCGCAGTAAGCCGCCGCGGCAGCCGAGACAGCGAGATCTAGGGGTTTACACGGGTGATGACTGATGAAGTGCTCAGCTGTGAGAGTTCGTTTGTAGCCGACTGAGCCTTCACCAGACCTCACGTGTCTGTCAGTCCATGTGTCCGAACTGACCACTATCCGCGTATCCGCCAGCTTGTCCGGATGTCCGCGAGCCAACAAGCCCAAGGGACGCCGGGACGGACAGGACAGCGAGCCACTGAGGTGCCCGGTACCCGGCTGTGACGGCTCAGGTCATGTGACTGGCAAATTCCTCAGTCACCGCAGGTTAGTTGGGAGGAGTTCAAATGTCACCTGTTTCAGAGCTCAGCGGCTAAACGTTATACAATATACATGATTAGGTATACCTATCAGACAGACGCCTAACACTGATGTTGTTTGTGCTGTCGGTCATTGTGACTTGATATGTTTTTTTCTGTCGTTTATTCGATGATTCTATTTCACGTTGATCAATCGTTGAAGTTCAACGTTACAACCTCACAAAGAGTGAACTTTTGAGTGTCTCCACTAAGAGACTTTCCCTCCACAGCGCGTCTGGCTGCCCCGTGGCCAACCGCAACAAACGCTCTCTGGACGCGTCGGGTGCCTCGGACCGCTCCTACTCCAGTCTGGGGATGATCAACTCCATCTCCATGGGTTCCTACATGGGCGGAGCAGGGTTCGGCGCGCCTTACATGGGCGGCTCCTACCCGCCTGCTATCACGGCCAGCACGAAAAAGAGCTCAGGAGATGGATCAGGGCGACGGGGCTCCTCTGGTGAGTGGAAAGAAAATTCGGACAGTTGAGGCGTAAGCGATGTAAAGCATCACGAGATAACGTCTTCATATGAGCCTCTTGACTGCTGAGTGCAGCTTAGGTAGATCCGATTGATCTGGCGTAGTTCATGTGCATGTTCTTACCCAGTGGTAAGCATCTCGATTAACTATATGACACCATGTCCCGTTTCTTCCAGCAGCTCAGAGTGGCGAGACTGCGGCTGCCGGCGCGACAGCCCGCCCCGGAGGAGACGCTAGCAAACTGTCGGCGACGGCCGCCGACGGCACGGGGCTCTCCGTTACGGCCACCCAGATCAAAGACAACCGGGTGAGTGGCACATATATCATAGAGCCGGCTTCACAGAAACTCAACGTAACTTTGGATCAGTTATGTGTTGTGGTTTTTGGTCGACACATGATTACGACACCACGGAAGAACATGCAAGCGAAATTTTCAGTTCAGTAGGTAAACCATGTTTACATGACCACCTGATCCAAACAAAGTCCTTCACGAGTTCATAAACAAGTAAAATGCGTCTTAGAGTTTTCACCTTGTCCCAGCGCTCGTTTATTAACTTCACCGTTACCCGACAGGTGGCCGACCCGGCGGCCCCGGTCGGCCAGGGCGGCACGGCCCTCAACGACTACTACGACTCCTTCAGGACCAACATGATCTCCCTGCTAGAGCACGTGAAGGCCCCCAGCTCTGCCGAAAGGCTGGCGCCCCCCGGCTTCGACTCGTACTTCACACGGTTACACGGAATGTACGGCGACGGTGGCGCCACCGAGGAGTACCGGCCGATTTATGAAACTATGAAGGCGGCTATCCATGACTTTACGGTGATGCCGACTCCTATCTAGGTTAGCGAAGGTACTGGTGACGTTTGTGCTGCTGATAAGTGTGTGGTGCGTGCGCTGGTGCCGATTCTGCGGCACCAGGCGAGTTTGGTGCTACTGTTTATGTTTGTTTGAACGGTGCGTGAGGAGGATGTTTGAGATGTTTGTTCAGTGTCTGTTGATCCAGAATGAAAGAGGGTGTCGCGAGACAGCTGGAAGATCCCAGCTGAGGCGAATGATAAGAGCTGTTTTGGAACCAACCACCGAATGATAATGTAAAAGCACGTACAGGGTGTCTCAAAAGTTCGTTCACAGGTACCTACCAGCCATGCTTTTTTGTCAATAATTCTGAATCAACAAGAAATTAACAGTCGAAATTTTGCATGGGCATTGGTGACAACCTTCCTCAAGCAGTCTCATTGTTTTCAAGTGCATTCGACCCTTCATGAGCTCACAAAAAGGGTTCACCTCTGACCATGGGTCAGGCACGAAAATGTAGGTTGCAAAGTCGGGTATGTTGTGAAACTCTCTGTTTCAGGAGTAATGGGAATGGTTCAGTCGGAAATGACACATGGCTAAGTGTCGGCGAGGATGAGTGCAACATGATGATCATCTTATAAAAACGGTGGCTAAAATTTTTGAAGGACGAAACCATGCGAGACTAAAGGTCGTTCTCCACGGTACATGTTTTGCGCGTTTTTAATGACGTTTTAACGCTTTTTTGATGTTTTGCGAGTTTTTCATGATCCGGCGTTGATCTGTACCATTAAATTACAGGGTGCCATCTCCACGGCGGAAGATTTGTCAAAAATCGAAAAACGCGAGGCTTCATAAAATTAAAAAACTGCAAAACTCGTAAAACGCGTCAGGTTGTGTCATGCAAAACTCGTAAAACCTTTAAAAAACGCAAAACTCTCATTTGTAAAACGCGCGATTTTATCCAAACATTTGGATCGAATGAAGTTTTCCGGTTTTTGACAAGGATAAGAAGGTAATCCTTCTGCTATTAATACCATTTTACGGTGAAATGGATGCAATGGAAAGTGTGGAAAGCGATGAAAAGCAATTTGATTAAGCCAATGATCATGGCAAGTACTCAGACAACCATACCAATAACTTTTGTTGCTATTCCGACGATGTGGATGTCAAATAATTGCATAGTGAGTCTATGGATAACAGATATTACTATATATGATCATTTCAGATAATTGATAATTAACTGATGTCATAGCGGTGATAACAATAGGGGAACGTGATGATACCCCTATACCTATCTTTACAGCGAAAATCAAGGGGTTAATAGAAGCCGTGCGCCTGATACTTGCCCTGTGGGACAAGAGGGCCACGGCATACAGCGCACGAAGGGCGGAGAAAGATGTTCTTTCTCTGAAATTGAAATTGTTCTGAAATTGTAATTGTTCTGAAAGACTGACAAACTAAAACCGTAAAAAGCGAAAAAACTCGCAAAACTCGCAAAAGCGTCTGTTAAAAAGCGAAAAAAGCGCAAAACTCTCGTTTGCTAAAACGCGTAAAAACCGAAAATGTTTACACGTGGAGACAGTACTTAACGGCGTTTTGAACGACCCTCGCACGACAGCAGACTCGTGTTCCGGAAAGCAGCTGAAAATGCGGTCATAACTATTGAAAATTGGCAAGAAGGTCACAGACAGAGGTTACCCATTTTCAAAAAGTGCAGGTCATCGTAAAATAAAGACAAATTATAATTTAAAATTGTTTATAATATCTATAACGCTAATTTTTGGGGACAATAACACAAAAATCGTCAATGCCAAGGACACCTGACCCTCCAAAAGTGTCAGTTATTGTAAAATTTTATCTAACGGAGTTTCGAGAGGCAGATCTGCAGCGAATAATTTTCTTTTAAACACAAAATCCCGATAAAACCACACGATGGACAGGTTTGGGCCGTTTACAAAGCAGAACATCTCCCGAGGAAAACATTCCGCAACCGAGCGAAGGTCTTGGCATGGGGAATGACGAGCGCTTGGAATTTGCAAAATTTGCACAATGTGTCTGAGAAACAGACGTCCGACACATTCTGCTACCATATGATGCGAAAAATTTACTCCTAGCACTTCCCGTTTGTTCAGGACTGGGGTCGTTTTGAAAAGGAAAATGGCGCTTGGGATGTCGGCGCCAGTCATTCATGAAGGAGTTAGCGCCAGAGAATGCCTACAAAATACTCAAGAATGGTGTCGATGCAAGCTGTCGGCTTTCAGGGAAAATCAGATGTTGCCGGGGAGCTAGTCAAAACTAAATCCGACGCAGAAACTGCAGGGGATTCCCCTGCAAGAGCTTGAAAGATGGTAACCTTTTATCAGCCTCCGGCAGCTGACGGAGCAACAAAAATCGGTATGGGCAAATATTTTTGGAGATACAGCAAAGGGGTTGGTTTCCAACCTTCTTAATCAGTTGTCAAAGCATGCATATTTGTCTAGTGTACACACAGACACCAAAACCTTATACTTTTGGCCGGTTCTTATATGCTTTATTGGCATGGGAAATGTGTGAACGAACTTTTGAGACACCCTGTATAAGCAACTAGGTACCCATCAGGATTTCCACGAAAGACCTTGTAGATTCTGCCGAGATATGAGTGGCAAATCAAATTCGGGGCCTCATGTTGGCTGACGGTCTGTCAGTTTCATGGTTTCAGGCAGGAGGAAAGCTATAAATATTCCAACACAGTATAAGTTGGTGCAGAACACGCCAATTTGACACAGGGCATCGCTTTTCCGAGACTGCCCAACAGATGTCAGAGCGGGATCCTTGCCCAAAGCTCTACCTATCTTGAAGTCAGCAAGCCCTCAATATGTGTGCTGGTGTAGGTGTGGCTCTGCTGTTGACTGAATGGTTGAAATGCCTGTACATATTGTAATCATACCTCTATATTATATGTTGAATCGATGTTTTGTATAGCCAAGAATACCCTGTACAAAGAGCTTGAAACACAAAGTTACATGTTGCTGTTAACCCGCGCCCCAGTGGCGGTCTCAGCCAACTTCGCCCTAGTGAGGGGGGGCATATGTTACCACCCACCTCTAACTCAAAAACTAAGAGGGCTAGAAAGACGCGGTAAAAAGCAGTCGATAGCTCTCAATGCGTACGTTTGAAAGTATTTCAGTCATTTTTCACCTTAGAGCAATATTGGGGTCACCAGAGGTCATCAAAGGTCAAAATTTGCCGATTGTCATTATATTTTTCAGAAAACATGCCGCTATCTCAGGAACTATGGTAGCTAGAATAACGCAGGAAAGAGCAATCGATAGCTTTTGAACTCTTCTTTTGAAAAGGTCATTATCAATATTGACCTCAGGTCAACGGTTTGGCCTCCAGAGGGCAAAAAGTCCAAAAATAGCTGTTTTTACGAAAAGTGTTTTTCGACAATAACTTTCGACTACAAAAAGCTACGACATTTCTATTGCCAGAATCGTGTTCCTCTCGCCGAGACGCGTCGAATGAACTATAATTTGACCTTGAAAGGTCAAGTTGAAAATTTGACCTCAGGTCAAGGTCATGACCTTACCGGAAAAGGTCATGTTGCATATCAATCGATGCGTCTCAACAAGGCAAACACAATGAGACCAACCCCAGCGTTCTATCTCTTTCCAATCGCGAGTTATTGGCAAAAAACTGTTTGTAGCCTCAAGTGACCTCGGATGACCTGTCTAGAGGCTATCAGCAAAAATGACACCTTGGTCATCACGAGTGGACTAAATCATTGTGATTCTGAAATATTTGGACTGTTCCGATGCGTACACACGGATCTAGAGGCATTTTCATTTTTCTCCATTGACTTGTAATGGAAAGGTTTCGCCACTGACCTGACCTTAGGTCACGGATATAAAAAATCCGAGATATACAAATTGTAGGCGCCCATAACAGCATGCAATCCAACAAGTTTGAAACCTTTCTGACAAACACTGCAGGCTGGACATGATTGCAAACTTTTTTTTAGGCTTGGTCAGTTAACTTGACCTGGTGACCTGACCTGACATGACCTGGGGTCAAAAATTTCACACATTGTCCAAAATCGATGTACCAAAAGCTACCCCAAGCGGCGCGGCGCTACGCGCCGCGGTTTTTTATTCACACGCAAAAAACGCGACAGGGTGGTAACATATGCCCCCCCCCCCCCCCCACTGGGGCGAAGGTTAATAGCAAACCATTGTCATCGGTTAGAATAGGGCTGTAACTCAATGCCATCTGATATTTACGTTCAATTTCGTTACCAGCACAATAAGGTATCAAACGATCAAAATGTGACAAAACATCCATGTTCCAATCACGCTCGTCTGAGCTTTCTCATTTGAGTTGACCTGAGCCGATCGATTCAGTGATTTGTTGTTGCTTTACTCGTCAGTGATCCAGTTGCGGCGCTAAACGGTTCGCTGGTCCGATGCTCCTTTATGTTCGCCAGCCGTTAATCGCCAACATCATGGAATCTAGCTTAGCTCACTTGCAGCACACTTCGCGGTGAACTAGACACTAGTCGAGCGTGAGAGCGCACTGTTGCACCGGGTGTGACGAGTCGGTTCGTCTGAATCTGCATCCCGTAAACTGCTCGCGTCAGTCGCGCTCGACCAGCCTGAACGGAACCCCCCTTCAGAAGGTGTGCCACCGAGCGCCACGTCGGCCTGTGTGACGCGCGTGACGCCACTGTGACGCGTGTGTCACGATTGGTGGCCGACGTCATGTCGGTGATTCTTTCATTCTTGGCTTTATGTGTGACGGAGTGGTATGCGCCGATGTGTTAGCTGGTCAATACAAAGTTACAATCCCGCCCCAGCACCAATGATTGCCTTCGGCTGAGATGCATAACGAAATCGTAGCACATCATCATTTAGTCCACAATGAACGGGAACATAACCACAGTAAATCGTACCTAATCAAACCGATTAAAAGTTGAAACAATCACGGCAGCCTTAGCCCTTATTGGAGCGAAACAATAGGTACCTAAGGACGATTATGCAGCCACGTCCGGTGTTAATCTCTTTAAACACCGATCTATAACACTCGGTTACACAAGTTTCGAGTAACATGATGAAAGAAGAATACAAAATTACACCTCCTGGCTCCCCACGATGAAAATTATGCTTCGACAATCAAGTGCCCTGAACAAGCTATACTCGGCGTTCAGTTATTAATTATTATAGAAAGCATTCTAGGTATCAAACACAGTTATCAGACATTATACCACATATGAACCAAAAGGCAACTAAAAAGGACAAAATGTGACTATAGGTATGCATCTGTTTTCAAAATTCTATAGAAAATGAGAACAAATATTCTTTAGCCAAAAGAATCTGTCTGGCAGTGGTACAATTTCTGCTTAACGTGAGACCTAAACAATATTTTTCACGCATAAGCATTGTTGTATTTCACGAGACATCAAAAATTCAAAAAGTGTTTCAGTTTCAGGCTAAATTGAATCGTCATAGGAGCAAAAACCTGACTCTTTAGTTTAATTTTATTTTTTTACCGAATCATCGCAATGATTCGGCGTTCAAAATCCTGCAGTGATGGGAAAATGAAGAAAGTCCTGCTGGATATTCATGGCAGCGACGTGAAGATATGGCCCCTGCGCGATAGGAAAAGCAAAGGATCGAGCCGTGGACGCAGCAAGTCCAGAGGTTCCAAGAAGGCTGGACGGAAAGGATCGAAGAGGAGGTCCCACTCCAAGAAATCCGGAGGAGCTTGCGGAGCAAAGCCGAGGAGGGTCAAGAAGAAGAGGTCGAGCTCACGTAAGGCCAAGGCTCGTGCCTGCGGAGCGCCGAAACCGAAGAAACGCCGTGTTGTGAAGAAGAAGAAGTCGTGCTAAATGTTTCATCTCTCGTAACAACTACACGCCACAAACTTAGACCTGTGCTGTCAATGTCTTCAGTGCTAAATATAAGTATCGAACTTTGACGTTGTGTGTTCGGGACGAAGGAAACGATGGAAAAGACGTTTTGTTTGTCAGAGACTTATTCAAGGTATAGAGGACTTGAAGAGCGTATAATAGAATGTCTTAGCATTCTAGCCACTCTAGCCACTCTATAGCCACCACTAGCCACTTAGCTCTGAGCCACTCGCAAGTCAAGGCTATCAACCAAAGTCGGCTGACAATTGATGCAAACAGCTACAATTCTGGTACAAAAAAAAAATGTTATATTTGGTAAATTCGACGATCACTGGCAGCGTTATCTTGTACAATAAGCGTCGTTCTTACCCACAATGACACACAATCAGCAGTTTGGCAACAAGTGAAAGCACAGTAAAGGCACCTCGCGCACACACGATAGGTGACAACAGAACCGTAACGATAACGGTTTCGCCCTTAATCATTTATGGACGATAATGCCCGGTACTAGATTCACCAATTACTACGAAAACGCACCTCAGCTCAGTGACAGTAAACACATTTCGGGTGGCATTTCTTTCCGTTCACACCACACTTGCATCCGCCAGAAATGTCTCCTTTGCCCTGGAAAGTAGATATTCGATTTTGAGATGGAAATGTGCATAGGTTTCTTGACAGGCTTGGTTTATTTCTAAATCGTATTCGAGCACTTAGGCAAACAAGTTGTAAACAAATTGTAAAATAAATTTGATCTTCTAATTCTATTAATAATTCGCCAATTAGCTTCCACTCGTAGCAACTCGATTTACGTTTATTGTAAGCAAAGTAGCGTCTAGCATATGTGCAATTTTATGAACTAAAAACGATCTCTTTCCAGCGGCTGGCCTTGAATCGTGGGCTGTTAAACGAAACTCCTATCAAAATCGCTGCCGGACAGTCAGCATGCTAAGTTATTCATATTATAAATGAATCACTTGATAAAAAGATCTTATAACGCAAAATCAAACCTTGAATACGCTAAAGGACATACTCTATCCAGTGTCCTTGTTGACAAACGTTAATTTTCCGGTCCCGATCCAGTTTGATCCGGTTTGATCTCGGCCAGTCGAGTGCTGCGGTACTCACCCCGGGTCCCCAGCGTGGCTGGGCAGTGATCCAGCACACCTCGTTTTTGCACATGGAGCAGCGCACCCAGTCACAGCCCCACTTCTTCATCAGTATGACGTCACAGATGGGACAGCGCAGCGCGTCGCCGCGGGACACCATGTCCTGAAAATGGATAGATGATTGTGAAAAGGTCAGGAAAGCGTGCACACATTTTCTTCAATTTCATCAGGTACCGACTGCATATCTGAAAGAGTTACATGAAACTACTTATAATCTTGGTAATGGTATATCTATCTTGGTAATATTCTAATCTTAGTAAACTACTCGATACATCTTGATAAAACGCCATAATTCATCGTAAGAAAGTGGTCAGTCAATGACTAAATATCAAAGTTACAGAGCCTGGGTCGGACTCACATCGAGGTATTGCTGGGTCTTTTTGGCGTCCTCACTGGTCTCGGCTTCATCCTGCAGTCGCCGCTGGTACGTCTTACAGTCACAGTCCTCGTGAATGGCTCTGTAGGTGGCGACAGTTAATCGGTCAGCTCAGCCAGGGACAGTGAAAAAATCGGAGCTTCGTTTGAATAAATACAGGTCAAGATCGTAGGTACTAAGAGGAAAGGCTACCACCCAGCCAGCAATTTTACTCCGGGCCCAAGCAGGCTAAAGTGCGGCTTACCCGAGATTTTAGTCGGGCTAAAGTCGGCTAGGGCTTGGGCTAAAGTCGGCGTATGACACAAAAACGCCGACTAAAGCCCATACTCCGCCGGAGGTATGCCCGCTCTGCGAGCTCCGGACAGCCGTAGTTAAGCCCTAGTTGTGCGACGGTTGGCGGTAGCCTGATGTAAGCCCGAGCAAAACGTGACTGGCGCAGAAATGCGCATGCGCGAACAGCATATCAAGTATGGCTAAACTCCGGCTTTACACCAGTTAGCCAAAGGAGACAGCCAGCTTTATCAGCCCGCGCTCCGCCCAAGTTGAGCCTGCTTTGGATGCGCGGGCAGATGTCGGGCTGAGCTGCAGCTGGCCACACTCGGGCATAGCTGCGGCATGCCCAAGCTCAACCCAAGTAAAAATGCATTGGTTTTGATCAAAGTGGGCAAACCCAAGATAAGCCCAAGCTACCCGACGTTTGCCATAGTTTAGCCCAAGCGAATTGCTGGCTGGGCAGACGAGTGGCATCACTTTCACGAAATATATCAATACTTGAGCGTAAAAAAAAATAAGCTTCCCTTGTCATAATGTGCTGGTGCGAACGAGAGAAGACTAAAGCATTCCTAATCAGCTAACTCAACTAGACAACAAGAAACCCAGCCCCCCTCACTAGTCACTACCAGCTACCCACACACTACCACACCCAAACGCTCCAAACTAACCACACACCGCTCACGTTCGCCAATCCGCGACACCGTGTCGCCGCCTCCCCTCACCTGCAGGTCAGACAGTTGGGCCGCCGGCACACGGGGCAGTTGAAGACGTTGACGTTGTCCTCGAACACGCACCAGCCGGTGCAGTTGGGGGAGCGGCAGTGGAACGAGTCGGAAGCGTTGGCCTTGGCGTGGTTCAGAGAGCGGGCCAGATGACGCTCGTACTCGGCCGGACTCACCAGCTGAGGGCGGGGTAAAAAGGTGTTATTGGGTTATTGGGTATTGGGCGTTGGAAACTTTAGGACTCATCATCCACAATAAGTTAGATAGATTTGGGTAAGAGGTTTCACGATTTCACGATGTCCATACACCAGGGATAGCATTACGGCCGGAATGATGCCCCGTACTTTGCGTGTGAAGCCGCGAAGCGCGTGAAAGTGACAGCAGCTGGATCAAAACTTCATATGGGGCACAAATGACATGATAAAGCGATCTAACGCCGCGAAAAGCGGATTTACAAGCGTTGGAAACATCATTTTCCTTCGCAGCCGCTCAACACAGCTCCCGTTCAGTTCGAGGTAATGCGGTACAGCCTACCCCTCCAGGCGCAGATTACTGGTGCCATCTAGCGAGCGGCCAAAGAACCAGCACTGCAACTGCAGCAGCGGAGCGTGGACTGGGGCCGCCGGCCGGCAACTGCGTGTAGTGCGGCACAGTATACACCTTCAGGCGCCGACAGCTAATGCCATCTATGAGCAGGAATACAAGTAGAATACACTGCTCAGTTTACAAAACGGTCACTAATGCTGACCGCCCCCGCGCAGATATCATATCACGCTTCCTGTACAAATACCAGCAATCGTAAGTACTTACCTACTCATAAAAAATACGTGCCGAATCAAGCCGTTACAGTGTGCAGCTCCACCTTATCATTCAGAATCAGACTCCCACTTACCGCTTTGATCTCGATCTCCAGTAGGAGACTCTGGCAGCTGTATTCCGGGCTCATGTAGGGACATTTGACCTCTGCTGTGTCGCTGTGGGTCACTGTGCCCTCCAGACATTCCCTGAAGACGAAATGGCGGGAAGGGGTGAATAAACACCAAGGTCACAACATAGAAAGAAGAAAGCACAGGTAAGTATGATTAATTTCTTATTGGCATACGTTTTCTATATACCATGGCGAGCACATAAGTCACATTAATACCACATCAATGTGAAAATACTAAGCCAGAAATCACTTTCTGAAACGCAACTTTTGATGTAAGACTGGATAACGGGAAAAATAATCGTTATCATCGTGTAGTCTATCTGTCGCTGTCTCCCTCCCCCTTCCCTCCCAGTCTCCCATCGCTCACCTGCAGAACATATGCAGACACTCCCTCAGCACCACGCCGGCCGCCGGCTCCACGTCCAGCATACACACCGGACACTCGAACCGCTCGGCGTTCGGCACCAGCTGCTGGCGCATTGCCTCCAGGTGCGCAGCGTAGTTGGAGTTGGGTACCGCACCGGCCGAAGGCGCCACCTTTCCACCTCCGCTTGTAGCCCCGCTTCCGCTTCCGCTTGAGCTTCCGCTTGTAGTTCCGCCTCCACCGGAGAAGAGCGCCACTTTTTCCAGGACAGAGCCGGATGACTGGCGGCGCACCGCCCGAGCCGCCGCCACCGCCCCCGCCCCCGCTCGGCGGCTGGCCATCGGCGAGGACTTGGAGCCGACTCCTGTCGTCCTGGTGACTTGGGGTGAGGTCTTGGTGGTAGGTGAGGTGGTTTTGGAGGCGGGTGAAGAATGGACGGTCGTTGTGGTGGGTTTAGCGTTTGCTGTCTCAACAGCTGATGACGAAGCTGAAGAGCCTGATGGAGATCGAGAGGCGTCTGGGCTCGTTTTAGCAGCTGGCGACGAAGTCTTGGTCACGGCGCCGGTTTTTGAGATCGTTGTCGCATTTGCTGGTGAGGCAGTAGCCTTGGCAGTGGAACATGAAGTTTTAGGACTCGCATCCACCTCTTTGGAGGTACTAGAGGGTTCTGCCTTCTTCACAGAAGAGTTCGCTAGCCGAGAAGTCGCGACTGGAACACGGGAAACCGGAGAGGCTACTTTACCACTCGGGGAGGGGCCTTTCTTGTCGGGAATAGCAGCATTCAGAGGAGATGTACTGCCGGCCTTCCCGGCATTGCTAACAGGAGCTGCAACATTCGCTTCCTTGGCAGTAGAAGAGGCATCAGTAGATACCTTACCCGTGACACTGCTCACTACGCTTCTCACTAAACCAGGACTCTGTAGAACATCAGAGCCCCTGAATGACTCTGCCTTTGTCGCCAAAACCTTCTCCGATCCATACACTACACCATTCATCAGCGAAGCTCCCTCTGGAGAGTGTTTCTCATCCGCTTGTTCCTTCCCTTTCACTAATGTAGTTTCCCTGGCGCCACAATCATTATGCTGAGGAACAGTCCCATTGGGTGCTTGCACCGACTTTGACTGAGTCTTAACCTCAGATAGACCAGTCTTCGGCTTTTCTGTTACGTCAGCCTTTGGCTTTCCTGTGACGTCAGACGCCACCTTCGAATGTACTGTAAGTTCAGCCACGCCTGGCGCCATGAGTGTAGCCGGTGGACTGGTCACCTTCACAGCTGCGCAGGCGGCCAGTGAGAGGGCCTTCATTGGTTCGGAGTGCATATCAGGTGCTAAAGCCGTCATCACTGTCACAGAGGAGCTGGCTGTATTCCGACTAGTAGGGGCAGGGGTGGGGGCAGGAGATGCGGATGCTGAGGGGGAAGAGGACGTGGCAAAGGCAGTGGAAGATGTGGATGGCGTGGGGGAGGTCGGTGGACTACTGTATGTATCGTTAGAACCAGTATTAGCGGTTGACGAAATGGAAGAAATGTAGGCATTGGTATGGACGCCCGTACCCGTAATGGGCTTCTGCGTTGTAAATGGTGACAAATCAGACTTCATAGACGATTGAGTCGAGGTTTTAACGGGGGCCAGTTTCGAATTCTGGCTACCTACCGGTCCTTGGTCACCATACGCTACACCATTCGTCAGCTGAGACGAGCTTGGTCCGCTGCAGCTTTTCTTGTCCCCAGAATCACCGTCCGTCCTCGTTCCAGGCACCGCCGATCCAAACCCCGCCGTGGAGGGCGCAGCCCTACCCTGCAGAGACGACACTGTCACGTCTGTCGTCCTAACCCCGCTCCCCGCTGATGCAGCATTCATGGGCGTCCCGTCGTCTCGCAGAACCAGGGCGGCGATACCCGGTAGCTTGAGCGATGCGCCACCTGGCTCCGGTTGTACGCGTCTGGCAGACGACTGTTCTGGTGACAGATGGTCGGATGAAACCTGACTTGATGACGCCTGTCCTGATGACACCTGACTTGATGACACCTGTCCTGGTGGCACCTGACTTGATGACGCCTGTCCTGACACATGCCCCGCTATCGATTGGTCGATGCCGCTCCCTGCTTTCTCCACCGTCTCACGCCGCCTCAGAGAGCTCGGTGAGCGCTGTTTGGCAGGCAACGGGGGCGGAGGAGAGGCCCCATCGCGCACCGCCAATAGACCGCTCTGTTCGAACGTGGATCCACCATCGAACACTGTCTCGGCAGTCTGTACAGACCCCGACCTTGCGGCAGCAGCGGTTGAAGGGTCTGGAGTGGTGGGGAGGGGATGGGAGACCGCTGGCAGGGAGGGTACGGTGCCGGTTGGTGGCGAGCGCTCCCTGGCTGAGGTCTGCTGGGTGGAGCCGCCACCTGATGTAGAGCTGAGATCCCGCTCTGAAATAGGAGATAAGAGCGTATATTTGAATGAAATCAGAGCACATCTGGTGACTGGTACACCTTACTAATGGGATGGAACCGATATCAACCTTAATAGGCATATTAATTACCGTCATTTACGCACGTTGATAACAAATTATGATCAAGGAAAAGTTGACAATAACACAATCATCTCTGTAATCTCATTTGGATGCCAGATTCATCTATAAAACATGGTACAAGACGCAGAAAATCTCAAAGCAGGGTCATGCTGAGCCCTGTCATTCCATTCTCCGCAGCGAAGTCACGCACCTCTATTGAGCTCGGCGTCCGCAGCTGTGCACAGTTGCAGCGAGCCCGGCGGTGACGTCACGCCCGTCAGCTGGCGCCTCTTGGCAGGCAGCGGCGGCGGCCTGCCGGAACACGGTGACGTCACTGGAGTCAACGCTACTGACGTCACTTGGCAGGGGAACAAAGCCCCCGCGGTCATTGGAAGTTCCTAGGTGTGCATTTAAACAAATCCGTACTTTGATATCTTTCGTCGTGGGCTGCCTAGCTGCCTCTGGGGGATAGCTGTCTATCTATTGAGATTGAAAAACTGTCTTCTTGCAGCGTCAAATTTCATCGTGGGTTTTGACGTAGGTCCTCTAAAATGCTCAATCGTGGGTCGTGCAAAATTGGGTTCGGCTAATCTACCAGGGTAAAGGCGGCTGTATGGGTGCTCAACAAACTACACAAAACATAGATCATGCCTTTATTGTTATTAGAGCGATTCAAGCAGTTTATCAACATGCCAAATTTTTGGCAAAACGCCATACTTACACCTCCGCATCGGCTCGCCTCTCCACCGGCGACACGCGCGCCCCTTCCGTCGCATCACAGCACTTCTGTTTCCCATCTCCGCCGGTAGATGTCACATCACTCATGCAAGTCTCCGCGTCCACTCCGTTCGGCACGCCCGATAGCCGACTCCGGCTTTGGACCCCATTCTCAACCGTCTCTCCCTTTGAGGGACTCTGTGCAGCGTCCGTGACGGAACTTCGCTTGACGTCACGTGCCTTAATTGCCGTCGTCGTCGCCGTCGAAGCGCCTTCCGAGCCATCGTCGGCGTCGTGAAACTCGTCGCCGCTGGCTGACGGTTGTCGGCCGCCCGCCGTGGCCCGGGCGGGGGCGGGGGCGGACTCGGGGGCAGGGGCGGGAGCGGGCTCGGGGGCGCTGGGCGGCGGCGTGGCGCGGAACAGAGCAGCCGTGGAGATGGGTCGGTCCCGGTAGACGTCGGCCGCCCCTGCCGACACAAGAAAAACTCGTGTGAGAGGCTCTGTTATTGCAGTGAGATAAAAAAAAAACTACGGACTTTCCTCTGTATAAAATATGGAAAAATAATCGCTAGTTTTTGGAAGAGGCATTTCGTACCGAGAGCGATTTTTGAAGAACGAGCAACATGGACAATGACTCATCGATACACTACTAGCACTTGACGGTACGGTGGAAGTTCAGTGCTGACTGCTGACCTGGCTGTACAGTGGAGCAAAGTACTGACCTGGTGGTACAGTCAGGTACAGTACTGACCTGGTGGTACGGTAAGGTACAAGTACACGGCCGACCCGTCGCTGACCCCACTCTCCACCAGACTGCGCTGTTCGGCCTCTGGTTCCACCAGCCGGCTGTCCAGGATCCAGCGCTGGCACGACACCGGCAGCGCATAGTCGCGCTCAATCTGACCGACGAGAGGGCGGGTTACAGGTAAGAAGTCATGGGTCAGTAGTCTGGGGTAAGAAACCACGGGCCCTCGGTCACGGGTCAAGGATAAGGGCACAGGTCATGGGTCATGTAGTCAGTGACCTTAGGTTGGAGGTCGAGGGTCGGATATATACACGGCTAATGACGCGTTTCTACGGCACGCTGGCATTCGACTCAAATGAAAGGGAAAACAATTAAGGACTAGGTCCAGCTATAACGCATAAATCCCGAGATGCCATGGAGGGAAGTAGGCGGCTAGGCGCCATTTACTGATATTCGTGTAAGACTCAGAGCAGCAATGCAACGCTCCATTGCTTTATCATTGCATTCATTGTACAATCCTTGCTCCCTCCAGCTCACCAAGCTCATCCCCCATCGCTCCCACCCTCCAGTCGGTACTGACCTGCGTTTTGAGCTCGTGCACGGCCATCAGAGGTGACAGCCGGAGCGGAATGGGGCCCACGTGACACTTGCGGTCCTCGACGAATAAGTTCACACTGCACAGAACAGAGAGAAACGTCAGGGCATAGAGGCAACAGCAGCTGACAGGAAAACAGACTGCACAGAGCAGACAGATGTCTAAGCCCGGGCGAATGCACAACCAGAGCAGGGATGGAAAATAAAGTTGAGGAAATGGAAGCGAGAGAGAGAGAGAGAGAGAGAGAGAGAGAGAGAGAGAGAGAGAGAGAGAGAGAGAGAGAGAGAGAGAGAGAGAGAGAGAGAGAGAGAGAGAGAGAAGAGAAGAGAAGAGGAGAGGAGAGGAGAGGAGAGGAGAGGAGAGGAGAGGAGAGGAGAGGAGAGGAGAGGAGAGGAGAGGAGAGGAGAGGAGAGGAGAGGAGAGGAGAGGAGAGGAGAGGAGAGGAGAGGAGAGGAGAGGAGAGGAGAGGAGAGGAGAGGAGAGGAGAGGAGAGGGGAGGAGAGGAGAGGAGAGGAGAGGAGAGGAGAGGAGAGGAGAGGAGAGGAGAGGAGAGGAGAGGAGAGGAGAGGGGAGGAGAGGGGAGGAGAGGAGGGAGGAGGGGAGGAGAGGAGAGGAGAGGAGAGGAGAGGAGAGGAGAGGAGAGGAGAGGAGAGGAGAGGAGAGGAGAGGAGAGGAGAGGAGAGGAGAGGAGGGGAGGGGAGAAGAGAAGAGAAGAGAGGAGAGGAGAGCTAGGAGAGGAGAGGAGAGGAGAGGAGCGGAGAGAAGAGGAGAGGAGAGGAGAGAAGAGGAGATGAGATGAGATGAGATGAGATGAGATGAGATGAGATGAGATGAGATGAGATGAGATGAGATGAGATGAGATGAGATGAGATGAGATGAGATGAGATGAGAGGAGATGAGATGAGATGAGAGGAGAGGAGAGGAGAGGAGAGGAGAGGAGAGGAGAGGAGAGGAGAGGAGAGGAGAGGAGAGGAGAGGAGAGGAGAGGAGAGGAGAGGAGAGGAGAGGAGAGGAGAGGAGAGGAGAGAGACTGATTTTCAGGGCACCGGAACAACATCAACTATCAAGGCAGAGAAGATGCAAATAAATACTCCGCCAACGGAATACCATGTCATCTGATACGGCCAGGATGACGTCATAGGAATGAAAGCGGCTCGTCGAAACATTGCAGATTTACACTGTGGCGCAGGTGTTATGGCAACAGGGGAAGGCAAGGGCAACGTTTACACTTCACTATAAACAGGACTGAACACTATCCAGATTTAACTGAGCCGTTGCCGTCCGATCTGAATCATCGCGAGCCAAATTTATCACCGAAGCAGTGCAGCGCTGAAGTAGGTCACGGAAAATAGCAGGCGACAAGACCCTAACTGTGCGCTTTCCCGACACCGTGCCAACGAGCACACGATTAACATCACGCGGTCACATTGGGACGGCAGCTGATGCGGTCTAAAACGTTCTCAGCTGTCCTCGGGAAAATTAACCAATAAGACTTCCTATACTAGCTCCCTCCTCGTTCTCTCCTCTCTCTTTTCCCTCCCTATCTGCCTCTCTTTCTCCCCCACCCTCTCTCCCTCACGCGCTCTCACTCTCTCTCTCTCCCTCCCCCTTCCTCTGTCTCTTTTAAGATGTCACTCACGTTATAACTGTGCTGGCCAGTCGGCTTTTCTCTGCCTTCAGAGCCGCCAGCCGGCGGGCCAGCGCCGCTGCCTCCCTGTGCTGACCACAGTCGATGGCGCGCTGTAGCTCCAGCATCAGGTCCGAGCAGCCTGTAGGCCAGGTCAGGTCAGGTCAGATTAGGTCAGGTCAGATCCAGGGAGCCTGTGGGTCAGGGAAGGCCATATTGCTTGGTCACGTCATAGAAGGTCATAGTAAGGACCAGGGTAACCGATGAACTTCTGACTGGTTATAAGCGACGCAGATTAGGAATTGGCCTAAAACAGATAACGAATAAATAGGCATTGATTGCGGAAGAGCCAACACAGGATCTTACTAAAAAGGCCAACAGGAGAACAGCCAGTCAAGTGTAATGCAACAAATTCAATTTCACCGAAATCCGCAAGGCCAATTGTGTCATGCTACGTCCTATGTTGCCATGTGTCTATCATACCCCGTGAAAGAGCTTGAATCACCAGCGAGGTCCACCACGCCCGGACCCGGCATGGCGGGGCGGATGGTACACGAGCCTCACTCTCAGTTTACCCTCCCTCAGCGAAGCCATCTCAGTGGGAGGTAAACACACCACATACCACCGAAATGCCGACACCGACACACCGGGCGGCGGTGGCGGTGGCGGCAGCGGCCGGCTGGCCCAGTGCCCTATTCCGCGCCCCACCCAGGGGCGACACGTCAGCCAAGCTCTCGGCCACGAGCCCTGCCAACTCGGTCGGGTTTCGACAGCGCCGCACCAAACGCGAGGCTCACCGGGGAAAGACATTGGACGAGAGCGTTCCCGATAGGATAGACGAGACAGAACAGCGCGGCTAGGGCGGTAGAGCAACGCCACGTGCGAGGTATGGGGTCAAAGTGAGGAAAACGTGGACATCTAAACAAGCAATATCTTGGAAATAAGTGGGCCACTAGGCGAAGTGGGCAATCAGGACAAGTTCAAATATGGACTGTTCGCACGGTTCACACTTAGCATGTGGGAGCTAAAACTGGCACAGACAGACCAATAACTCGAAAATGATAATGCATCCGCAAGGAGAAAACGTTCAAATTAATGTAAGCACCACAGAAAAAAGGCATGAACACAAAAGGTGCACAGTTAGTGGTGCGAGTTCTGCGGGGTACGCTACATCGACAAGAGGTTAATCAAAACACAATAACAAACCTCGGCCAATGTTGTCCACAACGTGCAACACCCGGGAGCTCCTCATGATCACAGCCTCTCACCGACCACCTCACAGCACCACCCGCCCTGCCGCGCGACCCGTCGACCCACTGGGTATCTGCGTCACTGGCGCCGGCCTGACCCCTCGCGTCACCACATGGGCCCCGAACCACCCCGGCTGGCCCGCTCACGTCACCCAAACCTCCACACCCGAGAGAGGGTCACCCGCGTGCGCCAGTCACCCTGCCACGGCCACCTCCGCTCGCGAGAGACCCGGCACGGCGCCCAGATAAATATACCTGCTCTAAAAGCGCCCTCTCACTAACCTTGGTCGGGCTCCAGACGCTCTGGACGGTCGGCAGCGCCACCGCCGCCGCCGCTGTCCGCGGCAGTGCTGACATCTGTGGGGAGGGGAGCCGAGCTGGTTGGACCGTTGCAGGTAGCGCCGGCCGGGTCTACTGCTTCCTCTTCTGCGCCCGCTGCCGCCGTTGCCGCCGTAGTCGCCGTCGTTGTCTTCTCTTTTTGTTGCTCCGGTGCGGGCGCCGAATCTGTCGAAGGGGGCGCCGGTGCCGGAGCAACGGCGTCTCGCGGCGGTAGCGCACGGCTCTCTACCGCTGCCGGAGTAGGTAGCTGACTGTACAACACACCATCTCTTATCACAAACTGAGGGGCAGTCGAGTCCCGCTCCACCACACAGCGCACGCGGCCTCCGCGACCGTCCGGCACAATAAGTGAGTCGCCACGCCACTGTGGCTTACCAGCCGGCCGGCGGCGAGCCTTCTCAGCCGGAGAGAGCTTCCAGGGACGCGGGGCGACCTCCACGTCTTCATACTCGTGTACAGTGAGCGGCGGCGCCGCGCCACGAGTCTCCTCTAGATAGTCAGAAGGAGAGGCTTCCTTGATGGCTGGGAGTGAAGGTTCAGCAGCGCTGTAGGCGCGTCCTAGAGTACCCAGAGGCGGCGCAGATGGCGCCGGGGCAGGAGTGGCCGGACCGGCGGTCGGCGGAGTGGAGATCGCAGCAGCAGCAGGAGCCACATTCGAAGACCGCGACTCAGAGGGACGGAGATGACCGGACATCGATGTCGAGTCTGACTCTGATTCATCGTCAGCATCGTCAGCGTCCGTGGGATCAGCAGAGAGCGACGCTGAGCTGGACCGGTGACTGTCCTCTCCTGAGGGCGTCGGCGCCGCGGCCTGCTGCTCCTGCGAGCCGCGTGCCGCCTGCCGCTGAGCGAAGAACGCCAGCCGAGCGCGGCGCACCTCATCCATGTCTGGCTCATCACTCGTTGACGGGCGGGAGGCAGACTCTGTTGATGTTGACGGGGCAGACGGTGTTGCCTGAGATGCCTCCCGCTGCAGTAACTGAGCCACAAACGTCGATGGTAGATTAGGGCGTTTCTTGACGGCCGGCTCGGCTCGTTCAGGCTGAGTTTCTCTCTGATTGGGCCCTGAACCCCGAGAATCGCTGAAGAAACTGCGCCGGTCGGCGGCGGTGAGCGATTCTTTCGGTTCCGCTCTGCGACTAGTAGCTTCCTGACGATCCTTTGTCGCGGCTCCTGCCGATCCGAATACACTCCCGGCCAGGGTCACAGGTCCGTTCGCCGTGCGCCGTTTGTTACCCTCCTCTTTCTCCACCGTCTGCCTCCCACCGCTACCCCAGGCGTTCATCGTATCATCACCCAGCTCCAGGCTGCGGTGATCACCACGAGCAGGCATTGGTCGACGAGGCGAGGCGCTATCCCGACTCAGAGACCGTGTACCCAGAGAACCCTGACCAGGGAACGTACCCAAACGGTGCGCCACGCCACCCTGTACGACACCCAGACTCTCCTTTCGAGGTGTCGGCTGCGGCGGACTGCCGCCAAAGTAGCGCTGCATTTCGGCACTCCAGTCGGGCGCGCCGGGCCGCCGCGAGCCACAAGCCTGACAGGCTGAGAGCACCGCTCGGTTGATGAGGGTGCACCGGCTGCATGACCAGCCGGCAGAGGGCACAGAGGCCGCCTCCGCACGGGCCAGCGCCGCCTGCCGCCTCTGGGCGCCCGGAGAGCTGAGAGTCTGCATGGTAGTGTCCAGAAACTGGTTCAGGTCGCGCACCAGAGTTGGGATGTCTCCGTCTCGCTGTGGAGTCGCCGACCCAGCCGAGGTCGGCACTGGACGGGAGGTTTCCTGGGTAGAAACACTTCCCTGACGCATACTGAGCCGAGGGGCGGGCTCTGGCGGCTCGGGGTCCACTCGGCGAGCCTCTTGAGGAGAGTCAGACTTTGCACGTTCACTGGATGCCACCGGCTGAGTGGTCTTTACCATTTCCTCTTCCTTCACTGGTGGCTGACTTGGTTTGACACACCTCTCGGCACTGTCCTCATGCCGCGGCGCGGACGGAGCAAACTCAGCCGCCGCCGCCGCCGGCTCAGTCTCTGCGTCCACATCATCTGCGAACGGGTTCATCGTGTCCGGGTACTCATCCTCGTCAAACGGGTTGGTCGACTGGACCGGTGCCAGCACGACGTTGTCATAAACGCCGTGCTGTTTCGACCTGGGCACGGGCTCGTCCGCGTCTTCAAAGGGATTCCCGCTCGGTTGAGGCCCTTCGTCGAATGGGTTTCTGTCGGCGGGGTAGCTTTCTTGACGCACCATTTTGCCTCGAGAGACATTCGACGGCGGAGCTGCTTGTTTTGGGGACTGAGTAACACTGTTGTTTTTCTGAGCTGCAGAATCAGAGCGCAGTGATACAGGGCTAGAAACATTCTGCACCTTTGCATTGTTTGTCTTAGTTTCATCACTTTTCTTTGTCTTATCACTGAAACCCGATGTTGCACTCGACGCACCACACGAGACCCTACTTCTCTCCGTCTTCAATCCCTGCTTCGCTACCTCCGGCGAGCTCGATTTGACACCCCCAGCGGCTCCCCTTTCCAGCGCCGATCCTTTCGGAGATCCCACACTTGCCGACGCTGAGCACTTCTCAGTCTCTGTCTCCTCTCCCTTCTCCTCAAACTTCTCCCTAACCAGCATCGCTATCGTCTGACACGTCTCACGTTTCTCACGCTCCATTTCGGCGTGAGATTTCCCACTCGCCACCAGCGTCCCATCGTCTCCTTGTGCACCATAATCATCGTCCACTCCGCCTAGAGCGCCGCCCAGGTGCGAGTGTGACGGCAGAGTAGCCGACTGATCAGCCCGCCCTTCAATCAGCTGGGCCGCCTCACGATCCAGTGCACTGATGTTTGCTAACATTGAGAACCGCGGCCGGGCGGCGGCCGGGTCACCACGAGATGAGGACTGTTTCGGCGAGCGATCGCGGCCGAACAGACTTCTCAAAGGACTGCGGTTCTTGGCCGGGAGCGGCGGCTGTGGCGGCTCAGGGTCGCTTTTGGGTGGCTCGGTGGGTTTGGTGGACGATCCCGTACGCTGGAGCGGAGACTCGGCTGATGCGGGCGTCAGGGAGGAGGCCGGAGCCGGAGCCGGAGCCGGAGCTGGAGCCGGAGCCGGTGCCGGAGGCGGTGGGGACGGCTCTGAGCGCTCCTCCTGGTCAGCAAGGTGGCGGAGGACCTGCAGTCGCCTCTCCACCGTACCCTCCGGCGGCGCCGCGCTGCTTCGAGCGTACACCATGTCCGCCAGCCAGTCCAGCTCTCCGTCCGGCTCGGCGGCACGCTCACTGCGACTGCGCCGGTCCCTGCGGCCGCGCCGCTCGCGGGCGTCCGAGGGTTTGCTCTCTTCGGGTTTCTTCCGTTTGTACCAAAGCCGAGGACCGGCGGCCACCGAGAGGCGTGATAGGGTCCCCGCGCGGGGAGTCGGCTCTGGGGTCCGCTCGGCGGCAGACTGCTGCGCTGAGTCCGACGGTAGTGCTGAGCCCCTGGTTTCCTCTGGAGTACGAGTCCGAGGTCGCAAGACACCTCCCTCCAGGACCAGGGTGTCCGTTTGTCGGCTGGTGGTTCGGTCCAGACTCCGCGCGGTTGGTGTCGGCGGCTCGGCACGGCCCGGCGGCTGTAGACTACAGAACTGCCCGGCGGCCGGCGGTGGCGGAGCACGCCGCTTCCCGCGCACATGGCGCACCTGATCGGAGGGCGCTGGTCGGGTCCGATCAGCGGCGGCCCCGCGTCGCGCCGTGCCGGTCCGCGCCGGCCGACCGGGCTGCTGCTGGCTGCCGACCGGCGGCGGCGGCGCGGCCCTCTTGCGCGGCCGGTAGCTGAGAGTGCGGTCCTCACTGGAGGCCCGTGCAGGCCGGCTCGGCGGCGGTGAGCCGGTGACAGCTCGGCGCCGTTCGGCCGACAGCGAGCGACGCCGCCGGAACAGACGCAGCAGCGAGAACAGGCCACGCTGGGAGCCCGGGTCGCCGCCGGGCCCCGGGGAGCCCAGTCTGAGACCGCCCGGAGGCATGGCCGGCGGACTGGCGGTGCCACCACTCCGCGGAGGGCTCTTCACTCGCTGGGTGCGCGCCGGAGACTTGGATTTGGACTTGGTCTCGCGTCTGCCGCGTGCCGGGCCGACATTGCTCTGCGGAGAAGAAAAGCCATTATTAGGAAAAGATCGGCGACACCAAAAACACTTCACGACTTCTCAATTTTTCTAGCGATTACCAAACAGACTTCAACATAAAATCTAGAACACCATACTCCTCACAGCCACAGATAACTAAAACAGGCCTCAGCACAAAACACAAAACAAACATCACCTCAGCCTGGTAGCTGTCAATATCCCCAAATCTTTATCCCCAAACAACAACAGTCCTGTCACCCACCTCTCTACTCCGCTCGCAACAGCCTCACAGCATCTCCCACCCTTCCAATCGTCACACAGCTGAACCACAGACACAGACAGCCTCGCCAGCAGCGCTCGACCGACTGACGGACGCGAGCGGCCGGAGCCCGATGACCCAGAGGTCAGGAAGGGAGGTGCGCCGCGCGACCGACGCGGCCGCTCGTCGGGACACGGCCGTCGCCGCCGCTGACAGCGCGTTATTTCTGTCGCCCGCGCTCCCAGCGTGTTTTGCTTGGAGCGACTCCAGCTGCTGCGCGCGCGATTCGACGCCTATCTGGTCAGGGATGACCTAGCGACCCCGACAGTGACCTTAGGTCACTCTGAGGTCATCGGTGACGGGTACTAGCGGCCAGACGACCCGAGACTACTGGGACGTGGTCCGGCGCGGGCGCGACCAGTGGCATCTATTTTACACTCTTGGCACGGCCTTTGGCAGCCTCGTCCGGCGCGGAGGCGCAGTTAATTCAGAGGGTGATGTCGCCGGTGGCGGCGGGGAACCAGCTGATGGCAGCGCCAACCGGAGGTGCACGCTCGTCACAGATGATAGTGGGATCAGGGGAGGCACAGAGGATCACAAAGGGAGGACGCAATCATGACGGACCAAGGGCTTCAACTCGGAACACATTTGAGTGGGTAACGCTATGATCACATCATCTAGACGTAACCGAAACCTTAGAAATACGGAACACTTTCGACCTAGCCAAGAGATCATGGGCACAAGCCTGCAACCACGTACAATTCAACACAGTGCTTAGCACATTGTCTCTGTCCACCAACCTTCCACAGCACATCTTCTCCAGCACAGCCCATCTCAGTCCAGCCCGACACACCACGGCGCACCAGACCCGGTCTCACTTCGCCAGTCCCTGGCAAAGTGAGAGCCCACAGTGACTGGCCCGCCGCCCCGACCGACGCCCGCCAACGATATAAACAGAACGGAACCGCCCCCGCCCCCGCCCGGACCCGACACAAAGCCAGCCGCCCCCGCCTAAAGACTGAGAGGACCCGACTGGTCGCGCAGTCAGCGACATTTAACCCTATTAGTGGCAGGCTCCTGGCTACCCCCTATTAGTGGCAGGGGGGGGCTGTTTACGACCCCCCCTTGATATCTCGAGATCTAACGGGCCGATTTTCAAAATTCAAAAGGCATTCAATTTCGCTCAACGTGATCTACATTTCTAAAAAATAAAAATTAAAAAATGTCAATAGGGGGGGGGGGGTAGAGGGGGGTAAAAACGGGCAAATTGCAGATACATTTTAGACTGTTTATCACGGCCAGGTTTCTGAACCAATCTTAACGCAACTTTTGCCGATCGATAGAGAATGAACCAGGAATTCACATGGATCCTAAAAATATGCATTTTCAAAAATCATAGGCGGATACAGATCATTGAGATTGGGGGTACACAAAAAGTATAGTAAATAAGGTTTTTGTTGGTACTGTTTCTAAAAAGGGTGGTAATGGTCTTGTTATGTTACAATTTTCTTATGAGAGAACGACTACAATTGTATTGGTCATGCATAGGCGGTGTCAGGGCACCTATGTTGGGAGGTAAAACATAACCCCCCTTTTTGGACGCCTGGATCCGCCTATTATAGCAAAAACGTGTCAAAAGAGGATGCACAATAACTGTATATGTTATCACATAATACCTTTCATTCACTGTTCGTAAAACTGGTGCAGCATCGTGATCTTCGCCCAAATGACTCGCTTCACGAATAGGACCCCCCAATTCCCAGTGCTCTGGAGCCGCCCCTGGTAAAGTTATGAACTTGAAATTTTCAGGGAATGTGCCCAATTTAGTTTTAGGAAAAGTCAGAAAATTTCAGCATCGTAGCTTCAGCGGTTTCGGAGATATTCCCGAAAAACTGAGGGGTGGATAAAAACACCCCCCCCCCTGCCACTAATAGGGTTAATGACCAGAGGTGGATGTAGAACGAGACAAGGCGCGCGTCCGTGAGCCCGCGCTGTGATGGAATCTAGAACAGGGACGTGGTGCGAGAAGTTTCCGCTCTGTTCGCAAAGGTCAGGCCAAGCGGATCTCTCTTAGTCACACCCGTCGGTATAAACAAGACCAAAACAAAGAACAAGAAAACAGAGATAAAAAGTGTTTGAGATACACGCTCCTTTCGCAGCTTCACAAGCTGGAGGTGTTCTAAGACTTCGAGAATCAGGGTTAGAATGATAAAATGAGTGGCAGTCAGGCAGCAACCGGAACTGCCGTCAATGTGAGCCAAGTTTATAACCCCCAGCTAATGGCGCCATAGCCTATTCTATAATAAACGTTAGGCAGAGTAGTCTTTGGCAGCACAAATCACATTGACAGTCTCCACGCCACTATCAGCATATCTATTTGTAGTTGAGCCATCCACCAGAAGCTCGGACCAGACGTGAGTGACGGGCCCTCCCACCTCGCCGCCTACCGGGAGAGGCCGTCTGAAACACCTCACCTCCGTGCGTCTGTCATATCAGCGCGGAGGGCGTGTCATACCGACGCAGTGGGCGTGTCCTCTGCCAATGACACGCCCCATAAGTCACACACTCCGAGTGAGCGGTCACCAAATCACCTTTATCGACATGACAAACGATAGGCGAGTACATCGCTGTCACATCTTCGAGACCTCACACTTCGAGCGGACGCTGACCGGGCCAAACGCCCGACGACGGCGGGTCCAAGTTAATCGTTTACGTATCGCTGTCAGTTTCGAGACTTCATACCCCAAGCGGACCCCGACCTGGCCAAACGCCCGACGTCTTCGGCGGCGGCGGGTCCGTCGGTTAATCGTTTACGTATCGTGGTCAGTTGATACCGAAATACACCGTTCGGAATTGGATCCGGGCCGGGCCCGGCCCCGGGTGCACGCAGCTGTGTCAGTTGGTGCTCACTGTTCAGTGGCAGGCAATCGGCCGGGGGGAGGGGGGGGGGGGGGCAGGGAGCGATTTAGAGACCGCAGTGTCACTGACCAGAGCACAGAGAGGCGAGCGCGCCAGGAGAGGCGGGGAGGGAGGGAGGGGTGACAGTCGGACACGCACCATTCTTCAGGCAGCCACCTCCCCTGGGGGGGGGGGGGGTCTGACCAAATACCAGAGCACCACTGACCCATCAGCCGTTGGCACCGGGCGCGCTAAGATGGCCACCGTTAAATGCCCCGGGCAATTAGTCAGGTGGCCAGCCAGCGCGTGAATATAAGGCCTCGGAGGTTGGAAACGGCGCGGATAGATGGATGGATGGGAGACGGGTCAGACGCAGACCAATAAAATACATATTCTAAACATAATTACAAGGCCAGGAAATAACCCACCACTCACCAAACCGCACGGTTCTTTACACTTACAACAAAGAGATAATCCATAAAATTGCGATGGAACGTTTAGGCCACCATGATAGTGAAAAGTGAAAAACAAGTCGACGTTTCATCAAGAAAGTGATTATGCTATGGTTTGGGCCCGGAACGGCAACCCTAACGGGCTGTCTCAAATCGTAGCGACTCCCGACGGTTCCATAGTTCCGTCACCTACCGCTGGGCAGCAGCACCCGTCTCTCGAGCCAATGCCGGAGGTGCAGCTGCCAGCGCCACCAAGCGACAGAGCGACAACCGTAGGGGTGAAAAGAATATCCAACAATGCCAGCACGCTGCATGAGCCGTCCAGGGTAAAACCTCAGCAGCTGCCAGATCTGATGGTCAGGGTCGATTGCTGACTACTAAGATATAACCAATGATACTTTTATGGAAAATAACGTCTCTGCTACAGTTCAGGTAAAACGAAAGCAAACATGTCGCCGTCCATCTGGTGTGAAGTCGCACTTACCCAGCACATCTATGCTCTAACCCCGAGTGCACACATCCCAGGGGATGATATAGGGCTATATCCAAGCAACCAGCTCCGTAAAGGCAGAAATAGCCACGACCCAGTCACCGATGACGGGACCCCCTAAACCCCTCCCTGTAGGAAGCGGGTGGTCGAACAACCCCCTCCGATCCATCATACCGTCAGCTGACCGCGGTGGAGCGGCCGATCGCTGTCAAACAGCCTCGGCTGAGGTGAGAGGTGGTAGCCGACCGGTCAGAAATATCGCTGGCGGTCGACTGGTGGCTATTTTGGTCAGCCGGGTCAGCAGCGTGCATTTTGAACACAGTATGGTGATAAAAATATGACAGATATAATAAATTGAAATGAATGACGAATGCTTAGACATTGATAACTAGAGCAAAGCTTAAAAATGTTTAGGTATCTTTTTGTTACCATGATCGTTATTCAAAAATTACCTACTATTCGCTGACCTCCAAAGTCTGTCCGGCACTTGACCTCAGGCTCAGACACCTGGTCCCGTGTCATCGTTCACCTCAGGTCACCCTACCACGCCCCCTCCGTCGATCAGCTGGCGAGGGGGGCCTGGGGGGGTCTGAGAGCGGGGTACTACATGGCCCACCGCCAGCCCTCCCCGCCGCGCCGAGTGGTCTCTCACTAACATTTGCCTCCGGTGCGGCCGGGCGAAGAAAGGTGTCGGAAATTAGAGCCGCGACCACACACAGCCGACGCACAGGTGCCGAGGGAGCTCTCGGCTCGATGACGATGGAAGTATAGAGACACGTGGCGAGAGACCGAGTGACCCAGGCCGACCCCGGGCCGGCAGTGAACTCGTTCTTGGGAGGAGCACGTGGCGACGTGGTCCTATTCCACGTGAAGCGCCGATGTAGTGTGTGTGGCCAATGCGAGATACAAGAAACAAACC